GTACCCAATGGACAAGGAGTGGAGGCTTTGAGGAGGTTGATACGGGAAGTCGAGGAGAAGCGAGAGGGAGAGGTGTGGGTGCATTGGTAAGTCTCTTGAGTACTGGTCATTTGGAGATGGTGAACCCGGGGGTTTTAGCTTCCCGATGAGAGGGATGGGCCAGACTCTCTAGACTACGTTGCTAGAGGTCATTCGTGGGCTTTTGCTGATAACAGTTCCGCCGGCGTCGGACGAACAGGGACATTCATCGCTCTCTCATCACTGTTACACGAGCACACGGGCAGTATACCTCTCCCGGAATCCCCTTTGGGACCCTTGCCTCGGGAACTGGAAGGCGACCGGGTCGCGCATACCGTAGACCAGATGCGGGAGTGGAGGGGGATGCTAGTGCAAGGGCCCGAGCAGCTGAGGCTGATATACGATATGGCCGAGGGAAGATGACGAAGGGGGGAGGGTGGTCGTGGGACACTTTATACTTGCCGAATTGACATGTCCAGTGACGATTACTCTTTGGTTAGATTGTATCGACGAGTACATTTGGCACATCTTCGTGGATGCGGGTATCGATGATGGGAGAAGGCATTTGTACTACTCTCCAGCAGTACCGCAACCCCGACCGACTCCCCCAACCACTGCATCCTCTGCAGTCCTCCCCTCTAATTCGAGAGGAGGTGGAGGTCATGGTGGAGAGAGGTTCGGGTTGATATCCGGAAATCTCGGGATGACCAACAATCATAACCGGGACGGCATCCGGCCGTTTTAGTCATGACAGCCAACCACTAACACTCATATACCCCGCCTTCTCCCCCCTTCTCCCCGTCTCTCTTCAGCTCTTCCAGAACCTCAGAACATACCACTCACCATGGCATTCGTCAACGTACGTAGATGTGCACACTGCACAGGCAAGGGTCGTGCTCATCCTCGCAGCTCGTCACTATCGTCGTCAAGCCCGGCAAGGTCGACACCCTTCTTGAGCGTGAGTCATGACTTCCCCCCTCATGGGGCTATAGCGAGTCTCAACATTAGCTGAACCCCAGAACTCCGAAAGATCAAGAAAGACGTCGACACCAACGAGCCCGGAACGAAGAAGTACCATATCGCCCAGAGCACCGAAAACACCAACGAGGTGTTCCTCTGGGAGGAGGTGGGTGACGCTGACTCTCTACCGGATGTCTAGAGGGGAACAAGGCTGATCGCAGTACGAGGACCAAGCCGCGCTTGACCGTGAGTGACCTATTCTGCAAGCGAACAAAGACTCCAGCTGACTCTCAGTCCACCGAGAAGGACAGACGTACAAAAGTGAGCAAGCGATATCCACATGGCGTCGTCGCCGTCGCTGATACCGTACAAAGCCTTCCGAGCCTCCGCGGCCGACGTCGTCGAGAGCGTGAAGATTGTCACCTCCAACATTATCGCTTGAGATGAAGGGGGAGCTCCTAGCGCAAAGTTGTAGAGGGCCCGCTCGAACCCCGATGAATAGCGTGCGCAGCATAAGGAGCGGAGGATCGAACAATGATGGCCTTCCGACCTTCGTCTTTATGCGTCTTTCTCGTAGTCCGACCATATCCAGCGCGCGATGGGAGACCAACAACATGCTGAGGATGTCATCAGGGCGAGACACATACATGACCTCGACTGCTGTCTACTATAAATCCGACTAAACCGTCTCGTTGTGCGCGACATCTCTCTTTGGCTTCTCTCTGCTCAAGATCCTGGCCATTCCACCGTGGCTGCCTCGTCTACTTCGCTTCTCGGACATGTCGGGGTGGGCGGCCTCACGTCCCAGAATCATCTCGGCCTCTCGCGAGCCCGCCTCGGGGATATTTCCAGATTTCGAGACTGTCACCGGGTTCTTGCCCTCGTCATGGGCCAGGGCGAAAATGATGTCGAGCTACACGTTCAGTTTTCCTCCCAGCACACGTCACATGCGACGCACCTCTTCGAGCGAGTATTTCTTTGTCTCTGGGAAGAAGAGGCTGCTAGTCAGGACGATCCGCCATTGTCTCTTTCCCGAGTCGCAACTCACTAGACGCAAGGGAAGATGATCAGACCGTTGGCACATGCGAACACGACGTAGGTGCCCCATTTGATATTCGCAAACATCGGTCCGGTAGCCATGACCACGCAGAAGTTCCAGATCCAATTGGAAGCAGTAGACAGGGCGTTGGCCTGGGCTCTGATACGCAAAGGCGTGACTTCGGCAGGGTAGAGCCTGAGCGTCAGTACAAGCGAGAGAAAGGTGTCGTGGGATTCTCAAGGCGACGTACCAGGTCATGCCGAGCCATCCGATCGAGAACCACGTGTTGAACAGGAAGAGACAGAGGACGGAAACCACTTGAGCTGCTTTGTTGCCGGTTTGCTCGACATTGTACAGCCCGGCAAGGACGGCCATGGTGGCCGCCTGTGCGGCCGCCGTCCAGAGCATCAAGGGTCGTCGACCAACCCGCTCGATGATGAAGATGGCGATGAGGCTGGGTGATGAGTTTCCGCATGAATAGGACAGAGCCACACGTACGAGGTCAAGAAGTAGCAGGTACCGTTAACTCCCGAGATGATACGGGACATGGTCGCTCCGAGACCCATGCCAGTGAGGACAGACGTCAAGTAGTATGTGATCAAGCTGTCGTCAGAATGCCTGCCTGGCTGCCTCGGGTGGAATGACTCACTTGATACCGGAGATCTGCTGGAAACACTGCGCGGCTACTCCGAGTAGAGTCCGCCTGAAGTGCTGCGACTTGCCATGCGTGAGCAGCTCTTTGAACGAGAAACCGGTGGAAGCTTCAGCGGCGGCCGCATCGCAGATACCTTGGAAGGTCTGCATCACTTTCGGGTCATCGACCGACTTGTCCGCCAGCGCCGCGAGCACCGCGAGAGCCTCGGCGTGCTTGTCCTTCGCCACGAGCCATCGGGGGGATTCCGGCAGGCGGAAGAGATACTGAACCGTCAGCCTTTGCGCGTTTCTACGACTCCTGCGGCTCGACTTGCCATGAGCGCGATCATGACGATGGCAAAGACCATCTGCAAAGCGACGGGGAACCGCCAGGCGATACCGCCCGTGGTAAAGTAGAATCCAAGGTCGATCCAGTAAGACAGCATGATACCCTAGAATGTCGTTAGTCGCCATCCCCGAATTGTAGTTTGGCAGACAAGGGGACGCACAAAGGTGATGAGGGAGCCTTCTACGAGCACGAGCTGTCCTCGACGGGATGGGGGAGCGCACTCAGACTGGTAGGCCGGGACGGTGGAAGTGAGCAGACCGTTTCCGACACCCGTAATGACCCGCGCCACGAGCATCATGGCGTAATCCACCGCTGCGGTCTGCAAGATGGCTCCTACGATCATGATCGCACCGCCGCTGTCGGTCAGCACAAGGGCCTCGCCTGCGTATCTTGAGAGATCTCACAGTGTGATGGTATGTCGACGACCAAGCCTGTCGCCGACGTACAGGTTGGACAGGGCTCCGGCCATACAGCCCAATTCGTAAATCGCGACCAGGAGCGATTGCAGCGTGGCCTCTTTGTTCCCTCCAAAACCTCCCCGTGTCTGGGGGAAAGTGTCTTCGAAAGCCGGGAGGGTCAACAAGGCGGACATGCTATATGGTGTCAGATTTGGGTCCCCGGCCGTGGTCGTGTAACTCACACTCCTTGGTCGTATCCGAACAGCGTGAACTGTGGGGTCAGTCTCGACTGGACCGACTGCCACTAAAGCCACACTCACCCCTGTACCCGCCACGACGGTGACCATCATGTTCAGCGCTCGGCCCCTCAGCTTGGATGGCTGGAGCTGTGAAGCATAGTGCGTGTCCACTCGCTGTTGCCCCTTGAAAACGTCTCCTTGGGCCTCGTCGAACGCGGTCTCCTCGCCTACCGATCCTCTGTGTCGATCACCCGACCCATTGTACTCGCCTGGCCCTCCATACTTCTCGTTTGGCGGGACGATCGGCGTCGCAGACATTCCTGCTTGCGACATGATGTTTGTTTATCGGTCTAATATAGTCTGTCTAGATGAAACAGCGATCTCTGGACAGGTCAAGGTTCTGATAGCGCAGAGGCAGTGAAGAGGGGGGAGGGGCCTCGATCGTCTAGACCGAGCGTTTAAGTATCACGATCCTCCATCGACCGGGGGGTTCCTCTCCACCCCTCCATGTACGGGGGGTTTTCCAATCATCGTCACATCGTCACTCGTCTCGGACCGAACTTTCCACCGCGAGAGACCGAAACCATGTCGGCGACGAGGGCCACCGTTTGAGAACGCTCTCTCGATGGTTACGCGAAAACAAATAACGACCACGGAAATACGGTAAATGAGACTAGTAAGCGACGCCCCGCACATTTCTGCCGATAACCGGGTGGGGGGCGCGTCAGCGGAGAGACCCTTGTCTAGCTCCAGCAGCATTAGAGTTTTGGTCTTGGAACAGTGGACAAGGACGACGAACGGGCAAGTAGCCAATGCGGTCGGAGCTATTTGGCGTCCGACGGAAACCTGCCAAGGAGGGGACCCCTGGTGGTTTCCCTCGACGTTTTGCCAGATATAGATTGGTGACGTCTCACCCCGACGACCCCACTTTTTCAATCTAGCACCACCACTCGGTCCGCAACGCAGCCGACCCACCGGGGCAGCAGACGCGGGCGAAGCCCTACCAGAGCCGACATTCACATGGTTGTGGACACGCTAGTCCAGAGCGGGGCCATCCTGTGAGAGAAGCTTGAGCCGGGACTGATCAGAAACGATAGCCGCAATCTGCCGCAGGCCCCCACGTCCCGCGTGGTTCTCCCGGCTGTCTCGCTCCGTCAGATAGGCATCTCTCGGTCATTCTGAGAGGGACTGGTGGAAGAAGGCACAATCCATGCTCCTCGGTTTGACTGGAGGTTCCGACACACATGCGAAACGAGAAGAGAGATATCCAAGAAGCGCTGGGTTGGCTAGACGGAACACAAAAAGCGCACTATATAAGCGTGTTGCCTCTTTGCAAACATGCGTGCCATTTTGCACAATTTGGCGGGGTTGTGTCCCAGTGGTTAAGGAGCCTGCTTTGCAATACTAATTGACTTTAAGCAGGAGATCCAGGGTTCGATTCCCTGCAACTCCAGCTTTTTGGACTTCGTCCTCCCGGTTAGATCTCATGCTGTATTACATCTAGGTTTCCATGCAAGACGTCGATTTTTTTTGGCTTGGATGAACAGCCGCGCTGCGCTCCCATGGTGCGTCCCATCTCCACCAGCAATGCGGCATGTGTGCGCCGATTATTCGAGTGGACCAGGCTCCGTGATCCCATAGTGAATGAAATCGCCACACCATAGGGAATCCCAAATCCCATCACTCGCGCTCAATTTGCTTCCGCCTCTACTCACGCTCTCCCCTCGCTGCTTGCAGACACACCTTGGACGATACTATCGTCGCATCTCGTCTCTTCTTACCGTAACTTTCCCACTCTCGAGTGCTATACCCATCATGTCAGGTCGAAGCGCTCAAGACCGCGCTCCGCGCGTGAAGAACCGCGCACCCGCGGCCGTCCAGGTACGCTGTGTTTGGTCGGACCCGTAATGTTACGATGCTAATCATCCAGATCACGGCTGAGCAGCTCTTGCGAGAGGCGCAGGAGAGACAAGAGGCGCCGATCCAGGCTCCCAAGCAACGGATCCAAGATCTCGAAGAACTCTCCGAGTTCCAAGGGCGGAAACGGACGGAGTTCGAAGGTCGAATCAGGTACTCGAGGGATAGTATCCGAGGTGAGCGGTTCTGCTTTGGTGTTGCTCGATGCACGGTCGCTAAACCATCAGCATGGATCAAGTACGCTCAATGGGAGGCTAGCCAGAATGAGTTTGAGCGCTCGCGATCCGTTTTCGAGCGGGCTTTGGACGTCGACCCTCGATCCGTGGAACTATGGGTGGGTTCTTCTCGTTCCTGAATGTCGAAGAGTTGAAAGCCCGTTGGACTCTGTTGACGCCTTAGATCAAATACACCGACATGGAACTCCGAGCGAGAAACATCAACCACGCGCGGAACCTCTTCGACCGAGGAGTCACGCTTCTCCCCCGGGTGGACGCTGTGAGTCCCGCCATTCACGAGGAAGCAGTCGTGGTGCTGATGCGCTAGTTGTGGTACAAATACGTCTACCTCGAGGAACTGCTGCTCAACATTGCCGGCGCCCGGCAGATCTTTGAGCGATGGATGCAGTGGGAACCGAATGACAAGGCGTGGCAGGCTTACATCAAGCTCGAGGAGCGGTACAACGAGCTCGACCGCGCTTCGGCGATTTACGAGCGATGGATCGGATGCCGACCGATCCCGAAAAACTGGATCGCCTGGGCGAAATTCGAGGAAGACAGAGGGATGCCAGATAAGGCTAGAGAGGTCTTCCAGACGGCTTTGGAATTCTTTGGAGATGAGGAAGAGCAGGTCGAGAAGGCTCAAGCTGTGTTTGGGGCATTTGCCAGGATGGAGACCCGGCTGAAGGAGTACGAGCGGGCTCGAGTCATCTACAAGTTTGCCTTGGCACGATTGCCTCGTTCCAAATCTGCCACTCGTACGTATTTCCTTAACACCATGGCGTGTCCAGCAGGGACGGGGATTGACAAATAGTCTACGCGGCGTACACCAAGTTCGAGAAACAACGTATGTGCTCGCTTGGCCGATATTCGGAACGGGCCATGAACTAATGGCAGACGGAGACCGTGCCGGCGTTGAGCTGACCGTCCTTGGAAAGCGAAGGATCCAGTACGAGGAGGAATTGGCTTACGATGGGACCAATTACGATGCGTGGTTCTCTCTCGCGCGATTAGAGGAAGATGCGTATAGGGCGGACAAGGAGGACGGGGAGGACGTCGAGCCAACTCGAGTCAGAGAGGTGTACGAGAGGGCGGTCGCAAACGTGCCCCCAGCAACGGAGAAGAGGTGAGTTTTACGCGTGTTCGAAGTGGGATAGTACTAATCCTGCAGATTCTGGAGACGATACATCGTATGTGGAAATCAACTGAGAGAAAAACCAAGCTGACCTCGTCTCCCTCCTCTTTTCATCTCAACAGTACCGTATGTCAACCTGCTCTATTATCTCGAATCTTATTGACCCGTAGTATGGCTCCAATACGCTGCTTTCGAGGAGATTGACACGCGAGATTACGATCGGGCCCGAGACGTTTACAAGGCAGCTATCAAGCTTGTCCCGCACCGGTCTTTCACGTTCGCCAAGGTAAGACAGCGGAAAGGCCAGAAGATGGTGATGACTGACACGCAGCTGTGGCTCGCATACGCTTATTTCGAGATTCGACGTCTCGATGTCAATGCTGCTCGCAAAGTTCTCGGTGCTGGCATTGGCATGTGCCCCAAGCCGAAACTGTTCACGGGTTACATTGAGCTCGAGATGCGGCTCCGAGAGTTTGACCGAGTCCGAACGTTGTACGAGAAGTTCTTGACGGTACGTGCGGATGATGAGACGTTGGCTCATAGCAGTACGACCCGAGTCTCAGCGCGGCCTGGATCCAATGGACCCAGGTTGAAGGTGCCGTGGAAGACTTTGAGCGAGTCCGAGCCATTTTCGAATTGGCCGTGCAACAAGAGCTCGACATGCCGGAGATTGTTTGGAAGGTAGGTGCTTTGGGGATCAGGAGATAGGCGGACGCTGATGCCAGGCGTACATTGACTTTGAGGCTGGTGAGGGTGAGCGAGAGCGGGCTCGACACTTGTACGAGCGATTGCTCGAGCGGACGTCGCATGTCAAAGTGTACATCTCGTATGCGCTCATGGAGATGTCTACGCTGGGCGGCGGCGAGGACGAGGATGGTAATGAGATTGAAGGCGAGGAGGGTGACCCAGAGCGGGCTCGAGCGGTCTTTGATCGGGGATACAAGGAGCTCCGGAAACAAGGCGAGAAGGAGGATGTGAGTCTGGTTTTCCTGCCTGTGCCAGTCGTGTGGTGTATGTCGCGGTGCTAATGTCCAGCGGGCTTTGCTGCTCGAAGCATGGAAGACGTTCGAGGAGCAACATGGAACAGACGAGGACCGGGCCAAGGTCGAGGAGATGTTGCCAAAGACCCGGAAGAGATGGAGGAAAGCCGAGGACGGATCGGGTCAACTCGAAGAGTACTGGGACCTCGTCTTCCCGGACGACGAGCGGGATGCCAACCCGGCCTCGTACAAGTTCTTCCAGGCTGCGCAAGAGTGGAAAGCGAAGCAAGCCGCTGCGGGCGTCGCGGACGGTGCGTTGGGCGCCGGTGGGCTCAGTTACGACATGTCCGACTCGGACGATGATTCGGACGAAGAGGAGGAAGACGGGGAGGGAGAGGCGGGTGAGCAGCACCCGGATGGAGAGGGAGGAAGGGAGGCGGGCGAGGCGATGGATGAGGATGATTAGGCTTTGTCCGAGTAGTCAGTGGATGTAGAGCGAGATGAGATGAGATGAAAATCGTTGCATGGGCAAATGTCCGAATGGCGTGCGTGGTGGTGAGAGAGATAGTCTACAGAACGCGGCTAGTATCATGGGGATTGAGCGATTGTCCGTGGTTCCTCCTCCGCCATGTCGTCCCTCCCTTCCGCCTCTGATATCAATGGTCATCCCTCCGACCCCTATTTTCTGTGTGAAGTCGATCAGCGACGGGTACACAGAAGTAAGATTGCACACGAGGCGATCTAATCGTCCCGTGGACCTCGTCGCATTAGCCAACCGCGCCGTGACTTCCCCTGATCTCCCCGTGCTCTAGCCTCTGAGAGGTCCGCCTCGAAGGGAGACACCGCCCTCTTGGCAGGCCCAAGCTCGTCGTGGTCATAATCGCGACACAACTGATTGATTTATCAGCTTCAGACGCGACAACACAAAAGCACATCGGTTCACTCACCTCGAGCCACTCCTCTGGCTGGTCTATTGAGCGGATCGCCTCGGGTTGGAAGACTATCGCGGCTAATTTGCCTTCGCTCAGGTGCCAGCCGATGTGACAGTGTAATGGCCATACCCCGGGAAGGTTCGTGTACATTCCTGCATTGTTAGCGAGATCGATATGACAAGTCGTGTTGTGAGCGGTCGGAGAGGGACTCACGCAATACCGCCCAGTGTCCTCCCGGGATCTGGATGACGTCTCGTCGTAGCGGATTGTCCGTTTTCGCCCGGGTATCCCGGATCGCCTCCCATTCCTCTACCGTGATATTCCCCTCGCCCCTCGCGGCGATATGAAACGGTTTGCCGTGAAAGTGGAAAGGGTGGGAAATGCCCAGGTCGAGGTTGTTGACGATGAGGTCGCCACCGCCCAGACGGTCAAACTCGGCGTGCGCGATATACGCATCGTCGATCGTCTTGCCTTGTTGGAGTTGGTGCAAGAGCGGGTTGCCAATCTGCGCTTGATACGTGATGTTGTTGAAGCCCTGCGCGTTGGCTCCTTGGTACGTTGTTTGACCTGGGGAGGGGTCGACTTACGAAGGTTCCGATCTTGTGTCCGTCTTTCCCGACGAAGCGTCCCAGCGAAGACGACATTGAATGGGTTTGAAAAATCTCTGTGGGCGCGTTCTGCACCTCGCGTGGTCTGTCTTTAGTATACTCGTATATGAACCCGCATCAATCCACGTGTTCGGTACTCACGTCAACTCGTACTCTTGATCGATGTCCTGGCATTTTGCCGCTGGACCTTGGAGATCGTCCCTGGCGTCAATGGTGACCTCGCGCAGACCTGCTCTGGTACAACACACCACGGCTGAGAGTCTGGGAGAGAAGTCGTTGTGCACTCGCCGTTCTCATCCACGTATCGCAAGACTGCCAACGCGGTCTGGGGCAAACCGGCGGACCCAACACAAGCTGCGATTAGTCCACCGGTCGAGCCCTCCTCCTCGTCATCGAGGATACTCGTCACTTCCAAATAGACTCACCCGTTACAACGTTTGCGCGGAGGTACCAAGCATCGCCGGCTGGCCTCGGTCCGTGTCGATGACGATAGACGTCCGCTGTGCCGTGCTCACTTGGATCTCGTGGATGCCCGAGGGTCCCCAAACGGCGGTATCGTCCACTTCGACGACTTCGAACGCGTGTTCATCGATCGAGATGCGGAACATGCCTAAGGGTGAGTGAGTGCGCTTTAAGGTGGTCTATGATGGACTGACCGAACGACCC